GGTTCAATTTATATAAATTACGTTTACCATACGTGTCTTTTTTCACTTTCATCATTCACATTGAAGAAATAAATATTTCTTCAATAAGAGTGTTGGGACAGTCATTATTTCTGAATACCTTTGAAAAAATCACGTTATTGTAGGAATACTTGAAACCACGACGACGTTAGAAATCTCATTTCATCATCGTGAAATATATATATTTGAATTTCATGTTTGAACCGGAATTCATCATTTAAGTTGAGAGGTTGCGTTTCTCCAAATATGGTTACTGATTGCCCTTTCAGAGACACCCGAATGCAAGATGACTCAAAAGGGAGCGGAATACTTGGGAGCACAAAACAAGACCATTTCTGGCTCTCCGTGCCTCCCATGGTTGGTTTCGCAAATGGTGAATCCGGAAGACAAGTTTGCAACGATGGGGCAGGCATTCCCCGATTCCCTCACAGATGAGCACAACTACTGTCGGAACCCGACAGGGAGATCAGGTGGTCCCTGGTGCAAATTTGTTGATCCCACAGGCTCTGAAGAATCTTGGGAATACTGCGATGTGCGTTTCTGTGCCGTCGAAGATACATGCAAAATGGAGGGCCGATGCAAGTCGAGTGAGTGACAGATTGGAAAATGCGGGTCATTTTTCTAGCATTGGGAATATCGATACGGAATGATGGTATTCATGATATACGACGAATTATATTTCGTAGGTAACCAAGCTAATCCAGATGAGAACCGCTTTTATACTTTGGCCTTCCGAATCTAGGGCTTTTAAAAATATATTCTGACATGTTTTCAATGTCCAATTATAGTTCTCTTTAATGTCACGAGACCCCAAAGATATATCGGGTGGCGCAAGAAAACTTACCTTACATAGGTTGTCAGAATGAAAACTGACAGTCGTTCAAAGTGGAGTCGTAAATTGTACCTTTTCCTTGGATGAAGTGGATGGAGTTACAGCACTGCTTGAATGATTTCTCTCACTTGACGACATAGTTGGGGACGAGCTTACGATGCTCGTCCCGCGGCACCACGTTGGGTCAGCGTCAAATACCAAAGTGCGACATGACATTCAGGCGATTAAAGGAGGTTTCGATTGAGATTCTATTTTTGTAAATAATTGGTCAGCTACCCTACCGAGGACCTTGCCGCCGAATCTCTCTGGGTCTGGTTGGAAGTACTATAGGGAGCAGTACTTCCTTCGATTGTCATCTTTTGAGGGCTTCACTTTCCACACGGGATTTGAGCCTTATTGTGACTTCATTCATCACTCATTGGGCTCTTCACCCGTCATGGAAGTGCTTGTCCGGATGATCATGAGTGGATTGCATAAAACTGACTTGAGCCTAATGCCAGCTTCAATGGGATTGGATTTAAATCTACTTGAGAGAAAAATTTTAATGTGGATTGCATAAACATTTTTTTTAGCCTAACGCAACATTAAATTCCGTATTAGTTTAATGCTACGATGACCCTACATTTAACCTCCTTTAGCATCGAGGAGGAACATACCGCTGGGTCGAGACACTTTCCTACTCTTCGCGGATGGACGCGGGCGGTGCTTTTCATTTTATATTTTTCCCTGAATGTTTCCGTTGCTGTAAAAAGCAGAGTGAACGAGCAATGAATTGAATAGATGGTCGCCCGAACTCAGTTGAAGCACTCGACGAGTTTGCCAGGGCAGAGTTCATTGTCGTGAGAGAGCTTCTCAGGAACGTGCGTTCCGGGAACGGCTTAACCGCTTGGAGCGATACGAAGCGATATTTTGACGAAGTAGTGGCTGCCCCTTCTGTGACTATCTTTAAGAAGAAACTAGATGCTTTCATGGAGAGGATAAAAGGTGGGGGGCAATGTTGACGTTAGGTACTAAACAGTAAGCAACTAGGATAGTCAAAAAAAAAATATATATATATATATAGCTTTAAGAGGGCTAGGCCTACCCTAAAATTAANGGATAGTCAAAAAAAAAAAATATATATATATATATAGCTTTAAGAGGGTTAGGCCTACCCTAAAATTAAGGAATGCTCGACCTCGACACGTGATATCAAAATGGGCGAAATCGCCTCTTGATATCACTAACTATCTTGAATCTTGAATAAGTGTATGTGATGACGCACAGAGAAAACCAGCACACTATCAAATATTCACCAGAAAGAAAATATAGCTTTAAGGTTATCCATGTCCGGAATACCTTTCTTCACAACCGCAGTGTCGTGAGGAGAAAGAACGGGCGAAAAATAAGTAACCGCTTAGCTAGGTGATTTCACTGGGTTTTCAGAAAACAATGTAATGTGTTGTAATCTGAGCCTTCTTACGTCTTAAACAGGACTTACTCTAGCATGTAGAGAAAAATATATTAATCTGTGGTATGCAAACTGTACCCTAAAGGGGAAAAAAAGAAGAGAGAAAAAAAGACTGCAAAAATAAACCGGGAAAACAATGAAACTGTGGATTAGATGGCAAGACTTGGGTAACCAATTAGGCTTCCCTTTTTCCTCATAGGCTTCCCATTTTTTGTAGGTTTCTATTTGTTCCCACGGGGATGCGTCCCATTGCGTTATTTGGGGGTACGTTGCCGGGTCAGACGTAGTCTTGGGCAAGAAACCAGAACTGAAATCAGAGGATGGCTGGGATAGAACCTGTGCCACACCGCCTAGCAGATCGTGAGACCAACATTGAAATAGCAAGACCACCTCGCCTGTTTAAAAAAGCAGGCTTGGCAAGTCTGTATTTCAAATGGGAGCTCACAATCCACACGGTTTGCCCTTATACTCCCAACATTTACTATACTAAGGGAGTGCTGCCTATTTCCAACCGACTCAACCTGAAGATTCGGACTTGGTAGAAATACAGGGTGTTCGTAGTAGACGCAAAATAGGGAATCCTTTGCCGCCTGTATGCGGAGTACCTTCGGCGCCTTCGGAGCCCACCGGGTTGCATATCAGGAAGGATTAAACCTATCCCTGGTGTGTTTCCTTGCAGATGTTCAACCCGGTGGGCTCTATGGCGCCGAAGGTACTCCGCATACAGGCGGCAAAGGATTCCCTATTTTGCGTCTAACTACGAACACCCTGTATAATCCGTGGTTATTTTATTTACGAGGGTGAGTCATATGCAATGGTGACTCGTAATTCAGCAGTATTAGATCATCAATGGAGGCAGGGTTGGCCCGGGTCTGCCCTACCCCCATTGACGATCTACCATTGCTGAATATCACGAGCCGCCCATGATCAAATGAAAGGCGGTCAAATTTTTTACTGCTTGCCAAGTTTTCTTTAAAATAGTCCCATCCACTGTTTTGACGTATATCCATCCCTTCGCTAGATTTCTTTTCCTGCCTCGAAGAAGGGTGGTGACTGCAATGCGAACCATTCTTGAATTGCGTTCTTGAGTTGGTCGTAATGCAATAATGCGACACTGCAGACACTTGTGCCCTATCGTAAATACAGAACCATGGCTGCTGAACAACTGCATGAAAAATAATGGTTTTCTTTAACCCTTTCAGACCTGAATTAAGGCCACTATCGGAATAATATCCTTTTTTGCATTTTTGAGCGTTTTCGTGATTGTAATTGAAGTTTTCGTGCTTTATATGCAGTTTTAAAATTTGTGATTTAATTTAAAAACTGAAGATTACAAAACTAATGGGTGAAAGAAGGCCTCTGACAGAACTGAGCCATTCATAATTGCGCCCATTGTAGCGTAATATGGAGCGCAAAGTCACGAGAATCCTAAGAAATTGTCATAGACACAATGTAAATGCAATGTCCATTGGAATGGACGCCAGGTCTGAAAGGGTTAATGAGTTGGTTCACACGCCTCATCATGTCGTCCGTAATCTCCACATTAGCTTCTCCTGGCCGCAGATCGTCTTCAATGCTAGGCCGCCCACTACGAAAACGTTACGTAAATCTAACCACTGTGGATCTGGAGAATCACCATAAACGTTAACCATCCTCGATGAATTTCTCTTGCTGAAACACCTTCTGCAGCTAAAAACTGGATCACTCCACGTTAGATATAGGTGGAAGCACTTATTGCGGAAGTGGCAGTCTTAATTGTGAGCTAACACGTTACGTGTCCATTGGAAAATGCCGCCACCTCACCGCAACGGTCGTATGACATGTAATGAATATTTATTGCGCGCTTCGTCATTTTCCCTAACGTGATTGTTGTTGAAAGGTGGTTGTATAAAAGCCACTGATCGGGTTTCATTAGGCTCGCTGTCGTATGTCGATGATAACGCAGCAGAGCGTATCCACATACTACATATCCCAAGCCACGAGAGCCTCGAATCCATAGTTTATATGGGCTCCAGTTACGCCAGAAACGGAAAACGATAATGCGGGACAGAAGTGACAAAAAGAAACGAATAGGAGAGCAAACTGGCTTTACACTTAGATCTCACTGTGAAAAAATCGCGTTGATTGCGACGTTGTCAGAACGACCCCAATGTATTTTATTGCTGCAAGAAGCCAGGATTTGAATTGTAGTTGATTTAATAATACAGGACCATTATATGACAGGTATCAAGAATAATTGTGTAGAAGTCAACCATACATTGCAATAAAGTTCCTGACAAGGGCCCAATTAAGCCCGGGCTCTCGATGATCTCACAGTGAGCTTCAGGGGTTAAATACAGTCACCCGAAATCTGAAGCCCAAGAAGGCAGACATGATGAGGACTATCGGTCATGCTGAATGGTAAAAAAGTTTCCAGCTTAAAAAGAAATAAGAAAAAAGAAAGCGACGCTTCCTCTTTATCGAACGCTGCGGAATCCATTCTTTCCTCATGCGGGCTCTCTAGGCCAAAGTCCTGAAAAGGACGATCCTTCCCATCGGCTTCCCGCTGGGTCCATTTTTGATAATCGTTTTTACGAAGTTGGGATTCTCGATCAGACGCAGTGGAAGCTAGGATCAGCTCGATGTGTTCAGAGTGTTCACACTTGGGCACACGTCCTGGACACGATCGTCCGATGAATACGTCAAGATATAACACGTGCTATGACTGAGTCAGCACGAAACCTCTATACTGAGTCTATAGATTCCTATCTGGATCAGGACGAAAGCCTAAGTTGGTTCCTGTTGTTTCTCTTCATTTAGTCTTTCTAAGGTTTTTTTTTCTTCCTGTCATGCTTATTTCAGTATGAAATCAGCGATCGGGTAACTAATTTTCCCGCCTTTTTTCTCGCAGGCCTGCCTTCGACTCCCTGGCTGTACAAGTGCTCAGGAAAACCGTGATACTGTGTTTTGCCAAATGAGGCGAGCTATGGACATGATCCATTACACCGTGAAGGAAGGAATCCTAGATTCTTCTAGTCAATCCAGCCAGTCCTCGGCTGCAGGGGAGACCTGTGTCTCTACTGTTCCGTCCCAAGTAAGTATCTTATCTTGAGAGCTGCACGCGGGATTATACTTTGAAGCAAGGGTAAAGACGCGGAAGAGAGAAAGAGAGATGGGGGAGCTTGCAATCCCTCAATAATGGAGCAGGTCGATCAGTGAGGTCGACCCTATTACAAAGAGAATAATCTTCCCTGATGAAGCTCCTCATCATACTGGAGATATATACGTTACTCAGGTAGGCGTATTTGTCTTGAGAACGGAAGGCAAGACGGAGATGATATTAGATGAGGATGAGGAAGGATGACGGAGAAGAACAATGCCCGGGCTCAGCCAGACATTCACTTAGGCTAATTGAGGTCTCTTTTTTTCCTCCCCGAAGGAAAGCAGTACCATTCATCCATCCATCCATCTGTTGCGAAAGGAAGATGAATGAATGCAGTGGCGGGCGAGTTGAAGGTGATGAATTGAATGATGTGTCATTCCAGGAGGATTGGGATGCTTACAAGACACTGTCGGCGGCCATGAGACGATTCGAGGAAGGATTGGAGATGACGAGGCTCACGATGCTCGGCCCCACTTATCGCGAAAAGCTCACGGCTGACCTTGAGGTCATCACGGAGAGAGTGCAAGATTTCACGGATTCCGCTTATACGTCCCATGAACACCGCGAAAGCATCCTTCTCCTCTGTGATCGAGTGAAGCTGGAACTCAACCAGCTCCTTCGAATAGGCTTGTCCATGGTGAGCTCAACTTTTGTTCCCTGTCGCAAAGTGCATTTGTTTCTATTGCACCAGCCTCCGCATAGTCTCTCCAGGGACCATCCTGAGAAGGAAGCAAATCCAATTGAAAGCAGGAACTCAATTAGACGGCTTTGTTGAAGCAGGAATAAAGAAAGAGGAATTGAGGGATATAAAATAGAAGTTCTGGGAATTGGTCTGATAGGAAGTAAATCGAGGGAAGAGTGTCTTGTCGAGGAAAGACTAGAGTTATGTCCCAGCTGGGCTGACATTAGCGAACCCAGGCGGAAGGAATTTCTCGCTCAATGAGGGCATAATTCTTCATTAAGACTATTTCAGCCGTGCCCCTGGTTTTCTATGTTCCATCCCCGTCCGCCTTCCCTCTCACGTAGAAACCTAATCCAGGTTCCCGGATGCAATCAGCAAGGTTTTTGGCCATTCAAGTTCTCCCTTGCCTCTCCGTTCCTTTCTCTTGTTCTCGTCTTACCATTCGATCCACGTGCTATGGGAAACGTCACACTTGCTTTCTATCCACGACGACGACGTTCGCTTGACACTCAGCGGGACGATCGGGGTTTTACATCGTAGGAGAAGTTGGGAGAAGGAGCGGGGAGTGGAGAGAACGAGGAATTGGATGAAGCCCTCAAGTCAATGACGAAGGTCTTGGGGGAATTGAGGCTACAGTTGCAAGTGAGTGCCTTGGAGCAGGCTGCTGAACTTATGGAAGATCGTGGAGAAGAGCGAGAGATACAAGGATCTCTCAAGAATGCTGCTCTTTCGGCCGATATTCATCGAATAAAAGACAAGTCCCTGCGCTTCCACGAACATATGGAACACGTCCAGGAGGTAGAGCCTCACTCCTATATTCTCATCTCACTATATTCATGAAATGGGGATTTGAGATTTTTGAATGCAGATTTGCAAGCTCATGAGGCATATAGCACCGACGGACGCATTGCAAATCACAGCCCGGTATGCGGAGATCAACATTCAAGTCTATGGACCCCAAGTGGTAGTCGCTGCTAATACCCTGTGCCTTCATCCGAACTCCAAAATTGCCAAGGAAAACTTGGAAGGTGGGAGAACGCTTTCGCGCATTCAAGGGAATCTCTTTGGGATGGGTCTCATTCATTTTTTTGTTGTTGCAGTTTTCATGGAGATGTGGAACGGGCTGGTGAATGATGCTCGGACATTGGCAAAAGACGTGGCTCGAGCCGCGAAAGAGAAGCCACCGGAGAAGCAGGTCTACATGTCGCTTCCACGACGAGGGGTATGTCAGTCCATTGTAAATCTTTGCTCTTCGTCCTATCCTGTATCTGCCTCTATACGTATATCCCGAGCAGAGCGGAAAGGGTGGTCTTGAATATGCAGACTTCCATCCTCTTCCTCATAGCTCCTGATGATAATTAATGAATAATTCATCAAGTTGGTACAGTACTGTTTCTCACGTTCTCATGACTCTACTCATCTTCTTCTGTGTTCTCACGCGTCTTCGTTGGGCTATCTTTGTTTCGTAATCACCTCATATTATCTACCTCCTCGTATCCCTTTACAGAAGCACGGAACGACCCAGAAACCCTTGAAACCGGCCAAGTTAGACTCTGAGGTAAGAATTCCTGCGATGAGGAAAGGAATGGTCGATGGTTCGGCTCAAGAGAAGAAATGATGGGGAGTTGACGTGCTTTTGTACACAGGAACAGGCGAAGATAGCGAAGACGGGTTTAGAGATGAAAATGATCACGTCAGAGATGGATGCTGAGACGGAGAAGTGGATGGAGAATGCGTCGGCCGAAGAAAACAACGACATCGTGAAAAGGGCGAAAAACATGTCCTCGATGGCGTTCAGTATGTACCAATTCACCCGGGGGGAAGGAACCTTGAAAACGACGCAAGATCTCTTCACTCAGGCGGAATATTTCGCCGAGGAAGCGAATCGCCTCTACAAAGTCGTCCGCCAGTTCTCCTATCAGGTCCGTCTCTCTCCCTCTCTCTATTCCTCGTCTCCCTCGTCCTGCTGATGATGACGGTGGCAACGACATTAAGAAAGGTGTCGATCATCTAATTGTCGACTTCGAGTCTCGTTCTTGGCCCTCAGCCAGAAATCTCGGAGCCTCCAACAGTAGTTAGCCTTTTTTCCTATTTTCTTCTCCCTCTAATTTCTCCTTCCTTTTCTCTTCCCCTTTTCCTTTTCTCCCCACGGCGTTTGCCTGTCTGTGGGTATTGAAACAGGTTCCTCAAGGAGTCCATAAGAAGGAGCTGCTGGAGTTCTTAGACAAAGTGCCGACGTACGTGCAACAGTTGCAGTTCACGGTAAAGAGTTCGACGGTGGGGAAAGCGGCAACATTTACCAAAGTGGATCACGTGATTCAAGAGACAAAGAACTTGATGAATGTCATCTCCAAAGTCGTCACTACCTGCTTCGTCTGTGCCACCAAGGTAGGCCATGCTCAATCTCATCCAGGTCATGCAAACCTCTTCAGTAAGATACCCTTTCAGGATCAATTGTAGCCCTACACTGCACTACACTTAAGGCCATAGGGATGACCCTTGGCTAATGTTCCCTTTTCAGTACAACTTATCTATGCCCGAGATACTGGAAATGGGTCCAGAAGGCTTAGACGGTGGAAGACTGACGAAGGTAGTCGATTCTGCGACATACTCGTATATACAAGAAAGGAAAACCTGTTCCTCATTCTCTGTCTCTTGATATCTTCTTTCTTCTTCCCTTCTTCTGTCTCGACTCGCTCTGTCTTCCTTGACAGGAGATGGTCCATTCTTCATGTCCTGTCCTGTCCTGTCCTGTCTGTAGTGCAGTGCCTTTCCATTAACACCCGACCAGAAATTGAGTCGTGCACCTCAGACCTTCAGTGGCAACTTGAGGCCCCCCCTCCTTTCACATTTCATGCCAAAACCTAACGAGAGAAACAGGATCGTACTCACAGAGAGGGCAAGAAGTGCCACTGGGGAGATGAGAGTGGTTTGCGGAAGAGGCACTTTGGTCGTTGTCAACTGTCCTGTCACCTGTGTAGGTGGACCGTCGTCTCGTCGTCGCATTTTGCAAAGCCTTTCCTCACTCCTGTCTGGTGTGACTTTGACGCAGAAATTCGTCAGGGCCACCATTCCTCTCTTTAAGGGGTTAAACAAGGGCTGGATTCTCGGATCTGAGTCTATCGCACTGACAACTCAACACGTCTCAACGGACAAATGAGTAGCCTTCTAATACAGCTGCAAGGACTCAGGTGAAGGCGCCTTAGTGTACTTGTAAGAACATGAAGTAGTCCCTCACAAAGGAACTGAAGTTCGGCATACATGTAGAATTTTAATTCTCGCTGGGGTGAGAGTGATATACGCTGAACGTTCCAAAAAAAGAAGCTGGGCCAAGCTTAGTCCTGTAGCGAGCTCACTGTGATGGATGATAAAGGCGAAATAATGGGGACAGTAAACGGGAGGGAGGAGGAGGATGCAAGTTAATGTCTAGAGATTCCTATTCTAGAGCTACCGATAGTGGCTCAGTACAACGGCGCAACGAAACCGAAGTTTCGGATCAGCCTAGGTCAGCGAGAAATGCTGAAAGCATCTACATGAATTCGTCTTTTTAAATATAAAACTCCGAGAGGCCCGCACAAAATTTTCCTTGCGGCCGTCTCTCATGGTGAATGCAGGGATGAGTTGGATTGAATTCAACTCCTTTAATAGCTGGGTCGATCCTCAAGGAGTTATTAAGAAGAGATGAGATAAAGGGCAAATATTAACTATTGCGATGAGCGTTAGAGGTATTTGCTATGCATTTTGTGCTGTCCAGGCTTTCATGCTTGACGTAAGTAACGGGGGCCTTGGAGCGGGGAGTTCGAACCTCCCCTTTTGGTTGCATCACTGCCAATTAATATTCAAGCCACTCATGCACGAGTTAGGACAGAACGTAAAGGGAGTCGCCATACCATCGTAGATTCCGTTCCAATAGGCTGACGGGAGCGAAAACTCTCAGGTACCCGTTCACACGTTCTGTGTTAGTCTCATTTCTTGGATACAAAGTTGACCATCGCTCGATCTTTGAATGAGAAATGCGTTGATCAAACAAGATTTATCAGGCTAATTTCAAAATGTTTCCCCAGTCGTCCGTTGACACATATTGAGTTGTCAGAGCTGAGAAAATTGCCCATGTCAACCTCTCTTTAGCCTTTCTTTCTTTCCCCTCTCTTCTCCTTCGATGTCTCCCTTCTCCGTTAACCGTTCAGGTGACTGTTGGATTCGTCGTGACTGCTCGCCCCGTAGATTCAGACCGTGAATGGTGCACTCATTACATACTGTAGCATTCCGACATGAAGTCGACAGAAAATATCATTTATAAAATCAAGGATCACAGTGACATCTCCCCCTGCATGCTGAAATCCATGCAATATACGTCGTACAGTACGTTGATGACAATGCCTCCATTGGATATGGACGTGGATAATTACTAGTGGAGTGGATTGTCATTGATTGATGTCATCACGAGGCCGACAAGCATGAATGTCCTCGTGAACAAGGGAAAAGGATGGTGGACTGGATATTAAAGGAGAATGTTTGTTGTCTGGATGTTCCAGTACAACTTGGACTTCCGAGGGTTGTCGCCACGAGGACGAGGGATATCGCCATACCGAGGAGACGAGGACCTGAGCGGCCAGGCAGGGATGTCAGATGCCGCCAAATATTCTTCCACACCGCCAGCAGATCCGGGCATCTGACAATTTGGAATGGCCCGGAATCGGGCCAAGGGAGACGCTCGTCGAACTCGTGTCTCTTTCCTCCTCTTCTGATATCAAACATATCATCACCTTCTTCGTATCCTCTTTCTCTTCTCCTGCTTCCTTTTCCTCTTCACCTTCTTCACATTTCTCTCTTTCTCCTCTTCCCCCCCCCCCTCTTCCTTCCCACTTTTACATCGTACTCCTTGCCAGCTTATTCTTCTCATTCTTACTTGTCCTTTTTCCTTTTTCTTTCAGCGGCCCAATATTATGAATTATTATTGTTATTATGTAGGTACAAGAGTTTGATAGTCAGAAGAGAGTCAGACCGAATATAAGAGTAAAGCGAATAATATCAGGTTCTTAATTCCTTCGCGTTTCGGGCGTCAAAACCTCGTCTTCCACTTTAGTATTATGCTACTCTCTTGATCGTCTGTCATATTGATAGCATTTCCATACTCTAGGACTCGTTCGAGCCGCTCCTTTCCCAAGCTCAATACCATAGTATTGATGAGGATGACATGGCTTCATCATTTTTTAATTTTATTTCGTGTCTGTGCTGCTACGCTTAATGAAGCTATGCGTACGAATGAGAGAGAGAAAGAGAAGAAAATCGTAAGTTCTAGACATGCCGTACAATATGTCTCTTTCTTGGTGCTGTGCTCATGCTTTTTTTTTCATCGGTCGGATCCGCGTTTTTTTTTTTACATCTTTTCCCTTCGTGTATTTATGAGTGTTTTGAAGGGAGATTCAGCTCAACACAATGTCCAGGAATCAATCTCGACGTATTCATGAAGAATAAAAGTCTATTTCGTCCTACAATAACCGAGTCCATTTCGTCTTACAATATCGAGTCTTTCTTGACCACACTCTTTGCTGGGGTCTGCGTGATTGTCTTGCTTAGTCATGTCGTGTCTGGTCATGTCTTGTCTTGGGGGGGTGCCATATAGTACGGGGTGTGTAGGAGGAGAAACGAGGGCGTGTCACGATCCTTGATCATTTATTAAGCGTGATCAGAGAAGAAAGGGAGCCTCGTAGGCTCGTATTCATCATTCCCCTCCTCCCTCGATGTCAACCTCATTTATACCATCATTACGCGTAGTACGAACCTTACATACTGGACCTTATGATGCCTGGAACCTTCAAAGACTCGGATTTGAGTGCAACTGCAATCCAAAGTCTCGATTTCAATCTTGTCATGAGGCAAGAGACAACAGATCACGGGAATGGAGCCATAAAACCTCCCACACGTCAGTCTACAGAAGATTTGGGAGAAGAGAGAGGAGGAGTAGAGGGAAGGAAAAGGGAGAAGAATGTCACTGCTTTCTGCTTTCACTTCTGCTCATCATCTAAATAGGGATGGAAACTCAAAATGGCATGAATTGGCTTGGGCCAGTAAACACTTTCTAGAAGTGGCAGGAGATATTGGTGGAGGAACCTGAGGGCCATGTGGTATGTCCTTATATCTCTTCGTTTATACTGGGATGAGAGGGAGCAAGGAGGAGGAGAATTACGGAAAAAGAAAGGAGAGCTTTTCGTGCGTACCTTCCCTCCTCTTACGGGCATACGGCACGCAACTCGCTCGGCTATCATGACGAAGAGGAGCAATTATAGGACATGGATGCCCTTTTTCTCTTGCCTGCAAATCTCGTTCTCTGAGAATTAGAATAAGGGGAGAATGGTCCAAGAACATTTCCAGTGAAATCGACCTTCATCGACCTCCCCCCCCCCCTCCCTACCGCCCCCATCCCGGCTCTGTACTTCAGGCCAGCCACCAAGAACCAATATAAGAATGGCTTGGAGCTCAGCAAAATTGCCGTCATCAAGCCGGTCGACTTGGATCGGGAACCCACCCGTTGTGCTTGTCACTGGGATTCTCCTCCCAGTAGTTAGAACTCAGCAGAGTGTACTGGACCAAATTCGTGCCAGAGAACGAACAACCCATCGTCTCAACGACATCCACCCAGCACATCGACTGCAAGTTGGCATCACTTTCACCGTCGTCCATCACAATTTCTCTCCCGTCATCGAGTTCTGGGGGTCTTTTTTTGCCGGTACTACCCGTGGGAAAAGGCGGTTCTACAGGCAAACAGGTACGAGTGATATTATGCTCCAACGTTTTCATTGGAACGTTCCATATGCACCCCATCCAGATTGAGAAGCATTATCTCTCGCGAGCTGGAATGAGATTTATTGATTCATTTCTAGCCATTGCCTAAATAATTCTCATTCTCACTATCACTCGATCTTCACGTTAATAATCTTCTTCAGATAAAGCTTTTTGACGATGCGAACGCAATTTCTTTACGTAATGAATTCTTTATGAAAAGAGGGTCGAAATGCTCTTCGCGAGAAGAGGGTCCTCGACGCGAAAAAGTTTGCGTGCAGTACGCAACGGTCGAACTTTTGACAATAGTTCCACGAATGGAGATGTGAGAGATTAGCCACGTTGTCATGGGTCTCTTCAAAAATATCGAATAACATCAGCAGCTCCTTCGGAACAGCCGCCATGCCTACTCGTGGGATACTGTAGAGTAGCGCCAATGCGTCCTACTCATGCGAAGAAGGATACTCACGAGCAGAGGGTAATTGATAAAGCAAGCTAGGCATTCGGAATGCGCCGCATGTGCGATAGCCAAGAGCGCCAAGAGTTTGAGGAGTTTTGGGGGTAGAGGATGGGGAAGAAGAGGCGGTTCCATAGCGTAGGTCACAAAAAAGCCTTTAAATTCTAGTTATTGTTTGGATGCATCTAGCAGCTAGTGATCATTGCTTGGAAGATGATGG